AAATTTTATCTATCATTTTTCATAACCTCAATACGGGTGATGTTCTTAAAATTTCAAAAATTTAATCGAAATAATACATACTTCATATTTCCTTTTGAATTATATGTTTCCATGACTATATCATTTCTTTCAATAGCCGCTAAAACTCTAGACGAAAGCTATCAACAAAAAGAAATTTTTATTACATAAATTCAATCTTTTTTGTTTTTTGTCTTACATTAGCATTAGGAAATGTTAAACATGGTGAAATATCTTCATTATAAATACGATACATAAATAAAGATGAATCTCATTCCAGAGATGATTTTTCTTCCCAACATGTAAACTCTCGAAATAAAATATTATCAATCTAAATCAATCAATTTATTTTATATATTTAAGTAAATTATTATTTTGAAAATAAATAATTTAATTTACACTATTATTAGTTGTTGACATATTAAATGATAAACGACATGTATTTAAAATTTGTTTTAATTCATTAACAGTTTTTTTTAATTGACTATTTTCAAGACTAAGTACATCAATCTAAAGTAAAGAATTTTTTCTATATAATAAGAAATTGTCTGTTTTTTTTTTTTATAAATTTACTGTTTGATTTGTAATTTTTGTTCGGCATTTGCTTGAGCATATTTTGCTTGTTCAACCATTGAATGTGCAGTCTAATAAAATTAATTTTAATATTTTTTTTAAACGATATTATGAAAAAAAAATTCATTACTTCAAATAATGATGCTGTTAAATCTTCGATTTCTCGATTTGTATTTTCACGTATTTCATTTGCTCGACGAATTTCACTATCTTTAGATTGAAGATCTTCTTTAACACGTTGTAATTCATTGAATAATTTTTCTGTTGTTATTGATTGTAAATCATTTTCAAATATTTCTGATGTTGCCATAACTCCACTATCACTACTAAATACTCTAAAAGACAATATTGATCTTTTTATGACGTATTTTATTCTATTCAATCATACATACGAATCAACACTCTTTACATCACTTAAATCATTACGATGATCGAGCATTGCATCGACTAATGAAGATTGTTCCATCATTATTATCTAAAGTGAAAAAACTCAAGTTTATGTTTATCATAGTATAATTAAAAAAAACAATTTGTAGTTGTACGAAAAACTAGATATACTGATTATCAAGTCTAAGATTGGAATGCTTTTAACGTTGTTAGTTACTTCTAATTATATAATCATTTATATAAATCTTTCTATAAAAAAAAACACCTAATGACAATCTTATTTAGTCATACGACATCAAAGCACATGATAAAATTATAATAACGATTATTTTCTTTGCCCTATTCGCGCGTGAATAGTACCGAAGAAAGGTTAACATTTCTCCCTTATGATTTAATATGAAAACAAAAAAAGAAACTATGCTTTGAGATTGTATTTCTCAAGAAATACAGGTAAAATTACGAAAGTAAGATTAAACAATTGATCCTTATTTGTTTGGATAAAGTAAATAAAAAAAAGTCTTGAGTGTATATGCATAGGATAAAACATGACTAGAATGACATAAACATTCAAACGAAAGAAGTTGTTTATTATTTCTTATGTACTTACTTGAAGAATTCAGCAAGGTGAGCAAATATATTTGAAATAATGTAAGTAAATTGAAAAAGAACGACACAATAAAAAGAGAAGTGGTTGTTGTATGAAATATGACACATTTTCGCCCATGTTTCTCTCCTACGCTAGTTAGTAGGTAGTCTCTTGAAGGAAAAAAAAGAAAAAAAAGGTTCATTCACCATTCATCTTCAAAATACATAGATGACACTCCTTGACGATCAATTAAACGAATCTATTCATTGATATTTTTGACATTGCATTCGATTTGAATATTGTTTTCGAAGATATGATTAAAAGATAGCAAGATACTCAAGACATTTTTACTTCCATTATAATTATTAATCAATTTATGATTGTTATTATTTTATTTGACTTGATAAACTATTGATATCAAAATATGAATGTTGTTTTTTTTCTTAGACATATAACAGATAAAAATGTTCAAATGACAAATATTCATTCGATTATTACTACAAGCTAAAATAATCCAAGTTCATCTATTAGATTAAAGTTCAACATTATTATCATTTGTACTGAATGTAAGAACTTTCTATGCTATTGGCATTATTTTAGATGGTAGTTTGTCATTTTTATTATTTAGAAAAAAAAACTGATTACTTTATTCGAATGATACTTTTAGTTCCGTAAAAACAGAAAAGAAACCTTGAAAGGAAGTTCCGTAAAAACAGAAAAGAAACCTTGAAAGGAAGTTCCGTAAAAACAGAAAAGAAACCTTGAAAGGAAGTTCCGTAAAAACAGAAAAGAAACCTTGAAAGGAAGTTCCGTTTCCAGTACTATACTTCTAGGGAAAAAAAAACAATGATTTATATGCTTTTAAAAATGAAATCATATCTAATTGATTTTATATTTAAAATAACAACCGAGACAGAAAATTTTCAATTTTATCAGTGCAAAAAAAAACACAGACATTTTGACATTGAGAACTTGAAGAAGAAGAAGAAGAAGAAGAAGAAGAAGAAAATCCAATTTGTAAACATAATGTTATCTACTAATTTATTGCTTAAACCAAATTATGACATTGGATACTATCATAACTTTTTTTTTCTCTTTTTTTAATAATAAGAAACAAAACAAAAGTAAGTTATAGAGTATGTCATACTCTTGGTTTGAAACTCATTTGCTGTGCCAATATTTAATCAGTATTTTCATACTCATATTGTATTCATTCATCATTGCTATTGCCCTTTGTTGTTTTTTTTCTTATTGTTTTTGTATTCAAATTTTTTTCTCGAAGAATAACAGTAGCGGCAACGACGAGTGTAAACTCATACGCACGTCATACCTGGACCAGACCAGGCAATTGTGACATCAACAACTGAATCCTGAACCACTTGATTCACTCATTTTTTGCGAAATTTTATATGATCTTTTTATTGTTGTTTATTGATGCAATTAAAATAATAGTATATTTGGTCATATGAAACAAAAGTTTCAAAAGCATAGTATGCCTATGAAAACTCCTGCTCGATGTCAATTACTTTCGTCAAGATCTGGTGCTGAGTACCGTTATTCCGATCCGGTTATCATATAGTCGAGTTGATTCGGCCCGGGGTATTAAGAAAAAGTGCCGGTTCGGGTTCGGATGCAAAAAGTGGTATTCCTGCAAGACACTAAGTGTTGCCAGATTCAAATTAC